TATGTGAATTTAGAATTTCATGAATATTGGGTCATTTAAAATAAGCTTTAAATCACGTATATGTTTCAATAATGTCATTAGAAAGACTTGATGATATTACAAATAAATAATAAAAAGCTGCTTCGGTATTTAAAATTAGATACTTATTCTAAAAATCAATTGCTGAATTGTAAATCTAAAAAAAATGCGACAGATTGTTCCATTTTTATTATTGGCGTTCAGTACATTTTCCGCGGACCGCAATCAGTCCGCGTTGGGAAAACGTACGAGCGCCGACGAGAGCATCGGCGATCCCGCGGCGCCATTCTCGCAATATTAATGGGTCGTCGTTTCTCGTTGAGCGGGGGGCGGTGCGCGTTTAGTTAGCACCCGCGATGGCAATTTGTAAGGGCGTCGGTGGTTTTCACGACGGGAAGCACAGCGGACGGTCGCGCCAGCGCGAAATTGATATAACTGGGTCCCGCAATGCTCGAACAAGCGTGATGTATAGCCAACATCTGGAGACTCTTCGGGCCACGTGACACGCGCGGCTTTCGGGAAAATTAAAAATCCTGTTGAATCGATACTGAATTGTGTCTGACAAGCGGCAGAGCGGGAGACGCCGCGCGTTTCGGTAAGGTTAGTCGGTTTATTTTTTCCAATAATTTGACACGTAGCTATTTTTCTGGAGAGTAAAAATATAAAAATGACAGCATCATATTACACATAAAGAATCACACTTGACGTAATCTGATCATTGTTTTTCTTGTGAGAAACATGTAGGAATTTATGTTGATACAATGCAATTGGCATTTGTTTCTTCGAAACTACATAAATTGTAGGTGTTACAAATTACAAGTGTTACAAATTTTCAGAAAGATTAATTTGATTTATATGTTATTCTTCTATCTTTGACATATTCTTACCTTACTTACCTTTACTTCGCAATTCTCAATCAATTAAATAAGATTATGGGAAAGTCCGAAATGGCAGTAGCGATTTCACTTAGTTGACAATACATCTCCAGGAAGTTTCAGGCTGTTAGCACAGAGTTTCGCCAATGTATGATGTAAACACGGACTTTGATATGTATGAGGAGTCTAAATGCACGGTATCCTTTACTGACTATGATATAGATGAATAGCCAACTATACGGAGCTTTAAACGGGCAGATGTAGGTTAATTACAGAAAAGCCAATAAAATAAATATAGAAATGAATTTGACAGGCTTTCAGATATATCAGGTTCGAGAATGGGCTCGCGTTCAAAAAACTACGTAAGATATTATGAGAATTTAAACAAAATTCAATTCTCAAAATATATAACAAAATAATAATTTAGTTAATGAATATTTACGAATTTCTATGTAACTAAGTGAAAAATTCACAGACATTCGTACTTTGTATATTAAATTGTTCAGTGAAGGTATTAAGGCTGCATTACTAGTGCGGAAACGGTAATTTTAGATAATTGGAATTATTTACTGATGAAGACAATTCTGCCGCTGTGATCAAACTTTTATTTTTAAAATCTTAACGAAGAAAAATAATACGTTCTTATTACTTTTCTAAATCTTTCTTCGAATCATTTTATTCTGCCACCTTTTCATCGTATCTTATACGAACTCTAAATATCCTCGCAAAATGGTGAAAATTATATTCGCTGCCGAGTATGATGGAAATAAGCGCACCTAAAAATATTCTACTCCTAAACAAGATTAACGAAGTTAACGAACGCTTCGAGAATAACATTGAGAATAAATTGCGCTACCAAAGTCGCTTCTCTCAACGTATTTCAGATATTTTTGCAATTCTCCACGATCGGGTTCTTTTCTCTTCTTTCTCCCGCCGTATTATTTTGCTGTACTACTTTTTAACGATTTCAATTGAAATATATTCTTAGCCCGTGCCATCGAAGTTCAGTCGACTCGTGACTGCAGCTAACCGCGTTACAACCCACCGTTCGACCGTTCTCTCGGTTCTTTTAAAATCCAGCCGCCGACTGTTTTTTCCTCCCGACTGTGCTTAACTTCTACGTCACGTCACTTAACTTCCGGGGACGAACTGTTGAATTATCCGCCGGTACGTGCTCGTCCAGATTAAATCTCAATACCGATCGCGATCGGTGTCTGCGATTTCTTTATGCACGCTAAAATTATTTGCCGTCAGAACTACGCGCGCAATGTTTGTTAATCTTTTGGCGTGCAATTGAATTTTCGCTCTATTCAATCGGAGTGGGAAATTTTGCTCTACAAAATATATGCTTCTTTTGCCGAACAGTATTAGGAATTTCTTCCGCGAAATAACGGATTCCCAATTAACAGAGATTCATTTTACGATGCAATGAATTTCTAATCCTCAAAATCAGAGTTTGGCTTTACAATTATTGGATTTCTTTTCATTTGCTTTTATTTTTATCAACTCATTTCGCTTCGGAGAATTAAAAAAGCGGAAGGGGTGAAGTCATTGCTCGAATTGTCTCGCCGTTAATTTGTAGCGCATGGCAAGACTTTTATTTAAACTGAAGAGGTTAAATATTTCCTCTGATGCGAACTCAACCGGTGCAAACCGTGCACCTAGAGAGAATAATTAAATTCTTGCTCTGCAATCAATTTTTTGTGGATATAGAAAGAAAGGAGTGTTACCGAGGCAAAATAATGTTTGAAAATCGGTCTATTAGATTGCATTTTGTCTACGCCATACAATGCAGGCATATCAAAGAAAACAGTACTGAACAAGGCATTGCTAATAAAAACGAGAAAGTTATTATTTTTTAATCGACAACTGACATTGGCTACGATTAGACTGATGTTTGGAACGAATTCCAGGAACATCATTTTAATGATATCTTGGATCAGTTGAAAGCTCTCTAGCGGGAATAACTTATCGATTTCTTTTAAAGAAGCAGAGTAACGTAAGAAGTAATGGGGAGGCGGGAGAAGAAACGGAGAGAGAGAGAGAGAGAACGAAAGAGGGCGATAATGCTCGATTAGAGGGCGTCCGATCATGCCTATTAATTTTCG